CAATATTTCCTAATGTCATTTGTACTAAATCATTCATTTGTACTCACTAAAAGAGAGCTTGAACCTATGTACTTGTGTAAACCCTTCACAATTAATGAGAACTCCTCTATTTCGTGGACGTAGCCAATATGGGTGAACCACGTACATCTGGTGTTTGCTTTCCTATCTCTATCCATTTATATACTTATCCACACTAATGACCGGAGCAATCTAGCGAAGATCACAAAAAGCAACCGTTTTCGCTACCTAGGATCTATCTTGCAAGAGAACGGAGAATTAGATAGAGATCTCAACCATATAATACAAGCTGGATGGATGAAGTGTAAGAGTGCATCCGGCGTGTTGTGTGACCGTCGTAGGTCACTGAAACTCAAGGGAGAATTTTATAGGATGGCAATAAGGCCAGCGATGTTGTATGGCACAGAATGTTGGGCGGTGAAGCATCAACACGTACACAAAATGGGTGTAACGGAGATAAGGATGCTTCATGGGATGTGTGGGCACACGAGAAAGGATAAGATTGTGAATGAGGATATCCGAGGTAAAGTAGGAGTAGCCGAAGTTGAAGGAAAGATGAGAGAAAATCGGTTACGGTGGTTTGGACATGTGCAAAGAAGGCCTATTGACGCTCCGGTTCGAAGATGTGACTACGTAACAGAGGTTCGGGGCCGAAGGGGTAGAGGAAGACCTAGGAAAACTTTGGAAGAGACCCTAAGAAAAGACTTAGAGTACTTGGATCTAACGGAGGACATAACACAAAACCGAGCGCAATGGCGTTCTAGGATTCATATAGCCGACCCCACTTAGTGGAAAAATGCTTTGTTGTTGTTGTTGTTGTGGTTGTTGTTCCAAAATTTTTCATAAATCAATGAGAGGAGTGATATTCACACTCAATAACCAACACTACCCACCAAACGACAGACTCATATAATTCATCCCACAGCCAAACCACAACTTTTTTTTTTTTCACAGAAGGTAACGAAAAATAAAGGATGTATTCAATTGGCAATTTGAAAAATTTTGATGGACTTATAAATTTATGGAATTTTATGGAGTTTAGATTATATGTAAAATTTTGATTCAATTAATCTCATGGAAATATGTGAGATTTGTGAATGCTTAAAATACAGTACAAAATTCCTCTAATTCCTCAAATTTTCCGAATTCTTTAAATTTAAATTCTAATTGAATGCACCTGAAATATGATTACTTAAAATTCTAATTGAATAATTTAGATTCATTAAAAGAATTAAATTTTTTTAAAATATATACACCCCTAAAAGTCAACACCACTATAGAGAGAGCATTGGACATTGGTGATTGGTGATTGGTGTACCTTTGGGGAGATAAACGTTGCGTTTCAGGTAGTAAATGTACAGGCACCAAAGGAAGCCGGAGACGAGGTAGATCAAGGTCCCGCCGACGTAGTTGCGCAGCCACGTCTGGAAGAAGTGGGGGAGTGGGTCCCACACTCTATTGGGGACGATGGTGCCGAGCACAATGCGGTTGTAAAACGTCGTCTCCTCGAAGAACGGATTCAGGTAGGAGTCCTCCATCGGCACGACACAATTTTTCCGGCGATGGGTCGCCGCCGGAGATTTGAACAGCGAATAAAAAGGGCGGAGAGAGAGAGAGAGAGAGAGGGGACAGACAGAGCGACAGAGGCAGGTAGGCTGCGCTGGAGGCGAACAACTGGTTCCGAGATTCGTTTGTCTGTTTTGTTACGGCATATGCTATATCATAAGCTTAGCTATGCGTGGATGAATTAAGTACGCTTTATTGTGCTATCACTTGATATGCTCAAGGGGCGGACTATCGTGCTTCATGTAGCCCTACCCCTACCACCGTTTTGTAACGTTGGAGATTACATTCCAATCCTTGAAAAAAGTTTATTTTTATTTACATCCTTTGAAAATTGATTTTGATCTCATTTTATCTACTGTAATTTAAAAGTCGTCATTTTATTTCCTGAAACTCAAAGTTTGCTCGACCTTACTATATTTTCATTTCTTTTGTCAAATTCGCTTGATTTTGGTTCCACTTTGCCCCTGCAACTTGATTTTGATCTTAGTTTGTCATCTGAAACATAAAAATCGTCATTTTACTTCATAAAGCTCAAAATTCGCTCCATATTGTCTTAATTTTGTTAAATTCTTCCAAAAGCCGTCAAATATGAGGATGTGGATCAAAAATTGCATATGTCGAAAAAAAAAAGAGGACTATAGTAAAATGGTAAACCAAAACCCAAAAGTAAGAGAACAACTTTTTGGTTTCATTTATCCTACTACTATTGTCCGATCTTGCCAGCAAGAATCCCTTCCTCTCTTGCTCTCTATCAACTAGGGGTGGGCAAACAGGTACAGGAATCACGGGTGGGGGCGGGTAATCAAGGTTTGGGGTGGGTATGGGCCGGTTCCTAATTTTAAAAAAGAGAAATGGGGTGGGGCGAGGCTTTGAGACTTTAGGTTTGGGCCGATTCCAAAAGTATAGAAAAATGGGCACCCGAACCAGCCCGTTTGCAAAAATACCCCCGTGTTGGGTACTATCTCCTAGGCCCACTTCCTATTGTTCCTTCCGAGTCTCACTCTCAAACACTACACACACACACACCTTACTTCCCCGTGTTTTCCCCTCCCCTAATCTCTCGAACCTTCTCCCTCATTCATTTTCTTTGTTTCTTTTCCCCCATCTCTGCAACTCTCCTTCCTGGGCACACACACACCACACCCACACCCCATCGAGAAATGATATGATGCAGCTGCCCTCCTCCCCCACCAACTCCTCTGTCTCCTTATCCGATCTCGACACCGAGGTAATCATTTCCTTCATTTCTTCCAATTTCATCAATTTCTTAATTTTGATTTACAAAATTTATGAAAAGTTGTGAAATTTTCAATCGCAGGTTTGGCTTTTGGCACTCCTTGTCCGGGTTGAAGACGGTATTTGACCATATCTCCCCGTTTGAGTCGTCCAGCTGACCCAAAAAATGTGGCTTCTATAATTTTGGGTGGAGGTGCGGGAACTCGCCTCTGTAATTATTGTTGGAAAAAGAGCAGTTGACGGGGATGATGACCGGAATGCCAGTGGGGATGGGGTCGACATCGGACACGTTGTTGGCGGAGGCGATCTGGGTGGGGAAGAAGTTGAGGAGGTAAGCGATGGAGGAGGGAGAGTTGTAGAAAGGAGGGAGGGACCAGAAGGTGAGGACCTATAGGAACCGGCCAGTTTCAAAAGGGTCGGGTTAGTTAGGTCCAAATCTTATTTTGAAAAATCCAAAACCCGCCCCGCCCTGCCCCGTGTTATTTACAAATGGGTCGGTCTGGTTCCTTCAATTTTGGGCCCTGCTTGTGCCCACCCCTACTATTAACCCAGCCTCTCCCTCTCACTCTTTCTCTAAGATTGATTTGCTATCCATGGAATTGGAGCAAATTTTATTATGTGGGTATGATCTGAATGCACCAGACTAATCTATTTTATTTTTTATTTTTTTTCAATTCTCTGCAACTCAAGCACAACAAGCCAAAAAAATCACAATCCTTAATTTCTTCTTTTAAACATTATTTTATGACTATTAGATTTTGTCGCATGGTGGAGATTTATAATCAAATTCATCTTTACTATGTGTTAACATTCAACAATTCATACTGGAGATAAAATGACGACTTTTGAGTTTCATGGGGTAAAGAGGAATCGAAATCAAGTTCCAGGGACAAAGTGAAATCCAAATGGAGTTCCAGGGAGTGTAGCTAAAAATAAGCCTATAATATTACATTTTTACCCATTCATATCGACAACTTTAACACCTATTTGTCAGAAGAAACGAAAGCATGATAAAATAGAACAAATTTTATGTTTAAGAGAATAAGGTGGTTAATTTTGAGTGACAAGAAGTAAAGTAGAATCAAAATCGAATTTTAGATACTCACAGCTAAAAATAAACCTTCTACAAATACCAAAATTGTAAATGTCTGTCGCTTGTGCTACAAAAATTTGATGATGCACTACTTAAATGGTGAGGAAGAAGATGGGTGTACATGAGAACGGATGAGGAAGAAGAGGGATCTAGATTCTAGATGGTGGGGAAGATGAAGGGCTGATTTGGTATTGCTGTGCTTTGAAAAAAAAGCTGCTTCTGCTGTGTTGTGAGAATAAGCGACTGTGAAATAAATTTGTAGAGTGTTTGGTAAACTTTTTTGTAAAAATGCTTTTGAAAAAAAAAAGCAGTATTATAGTGTTTGGTAAACTTTTATGTAAAACAGATGTGAAAAAAAGCCGATTTTTCAAAGCTGGGTTGTGCAGCTTCTTGTTTTTGGCTTTTTTTAATCCAAAACTGTGAAAAAAAGCTGAAGCTGAATGTTTACCAAACACAAAAAAACTTCCAGCTTTTTTTATACCAGCTTTTTTCAGAATCACCTCAGTACCAAACCAGGCCGAAATGTTGTCTTTATTTTTTTAATCTTATTATTATTATTATTATGATTAAATTGTTTTTAATGGTTTTAATTATTTTAAAAACACTTTTTTTTTAAATTATTTTTATTATTCACGTGGCATTGTAGAACTCACATGTCTGTCATATCAACGCACTAGCAAAATAATCGATGAAAATAGTGAAGGACTAATCAAATTTATTTGCAACAACCAATTACAGGGACTTTTGACTGATTTTGAAATTGAGGGATCAAAATGAAAAACTAAGTTAATTTTAGGACCATTTGTGATAATTGTTTTTAATGTTTAATTTTTAGGGTTTAAATGGTCATTTTATTTAGAGTATATGAGTAATTAATATGAAATTTTTATGTGAGTTGTAATCAACAAAAGGTGCGAGGTAAATAAAATAACACTAAAGCTAAAATGATGAAACAATACTATAATATTTTTTGTCAAATATCATTTATATGTTTATGTTCATAATCAAATAAAGGGAACAATGTATAAATGGGATTAAAATATCATTGAAATTTAACTACACCATACATGAAATATTATACAACAAATTATGGATCAAAACCAAGTAGCAAAGGGGCAACCCTCAACAAAGGCTCCAATGTGTTAGGTAAGAATTTTCTAGCAAACAAGAAACACACTGAAGTTGTATTGCCATTATACGTGCATTTTGATCCGAACCGAATCCGATTCAGAAGCTCATTCGAAATATCAATCCATCCAAATTTTCCAGGATGAGGACCACCTCTTGACCAATCCACCCAAGTGACGCTCCTCATTGAACTCAACTCAGTGTACAATAAGTTCACAAGTGTTGGAATATAGTGCTTATCAATGTAACAGGGAGGGTTGCAGTACTGTTGAAAGATCGGATAATATTTACTATCAGAAATGATGTGGACGGCAAGCTCACGGTGCACTTCGAACCACTGAGACCCCTTTCTCCAATTTGTGATGTTTATCATGGGGTACATTTGAGGGTTGTATCGGCCCCGGCTTGGCTTTCTAGGGTCATCAAATGAGTTCAGGATGCTTTGGTTTGAGTTGATGAGGTAGTCATATGCTGTTGTGAAGTTGAATAAAGGGATGCAGGATTCAGAAAACAGCACAAATCTTTGGTTAGAAATGTCAAGAAGTCCATTTGCTAAGAGGCGTCTCTCGGCATCTAACATTGTTGATGTTCCCCAATAGACCGGCTGCAACCAAATGAATAGTATTGGTCTCAAATGATTGTTACTTTGGATAATCCAATGTGATGTATATATAGCAAAGATTGTTTAATTTCTTTCTTCTTTTTTGGTCAGACTTCAGAATACAGAAACTTAATCTTCACCACAATAGTCTAGAATATATGAGTTCATAGTGGCGAGTTTGGGTTAATTGTAACGTTCAACAAGATGACACATTATGACTTGAAAATGACATGAAGTGTGCAAGCTTGGGTTGATTTTTGCTTCACTCAGAGACAAATATATGACACTATCCACACTCTAAACAACAATAATTTATGAAGATCTTATCTTTTTTAAAACGAAAATAACACAGAATTTTGCATTTTTATAATATGTGAATGTCTAGTAATTTAATCCGAGTGATTTTTTGAAAAATAAAACACTGGCTAGAAACGTGTCTGATACCAATATCTAAAATGAAAAATGTATGTAATATACATTACTATCAAACACGAGCATGACATGTTGACAGGACTTGGATATATGAATACTGCAGTTCAAAAATAATATTGATGTTAGATCAATGAGAAGTAATTGCATAAATGATTTGTATTGCATATTAATTTGATCAAACATGTTAAAAAAACTTCAGTTATAGAAATAGAATCTTTACCACTACGGTGGTTTAAGTTTTCTCACCAATTGGGGGATTTTAAGTTCAACTCACATAAACGGCGAGTTTGAAACTAAAGTTAATGTTAGCTCATTGCGTACTTAGCCCAAGCGCTCCCCAATATTATTGTATGAGAAATAATGAAAGGAGCTAACCTGGCTATGAATTCTTCTACCGTGGAAGACAGAATCTTTAGGCACTGATTCATTGAAATCAGGGTGTGCGTGCACAAAAATGGAGTATAGTCCTTCAAGTCCCTTGAAAAACTTCTCCCACAAGGGAGACAAAGGTAGAGGTCCCTTTGTCAAGAACATGAAAGCAACTTTCGGAACAAGCTTGTAAGGCAAATCTTGAATTCTAGGAACCATTGATGCTCTCCGAAACAACTCCTCGTCACTCATATTGTGTACGAGGAGGTTTTGTTCTGTCAGTGAAACACTTGTATAGTTAGATGTCCCATTCTTGGAGAAAGATGGTATTAGAAATGGTGGTGGTGGAGGCGGCGAGGGGAGCAGTTTTGGTGATGGTGGAGGAGGCAGCGATGAGAGCAGTTTTGGTAATGGCGGCGGCAACAATTGAGCTTGAGGTGATGATGATTGTAAAGGAAAGATATTGTTAATGGAATTTAGGGAGGCTTGAAAAGTAGTGAGTGAGAAGCTCTGGAAATATAAGGTAACTATGATACCTAGTGACAAACCTATACCAAAGAATAGGAAATGAAGGACAGGGTTTAACTGGATTAGGGTTCGAAAGGGCCGGAAAGTTGATTGAATTTGGGGTTGCTCGTGACTCGTCATTGTCATTGGGCAGATAGGAAAAAAGAGATCGATCGAGGAAGGAGTTTCTTGACTAGCTCATCAAACTGCTAATAACAAAGTCAAGCTAAACGCTCTTGCAAATAGGTTTTGTGGGGAAGGTAATGCATGTTCTTAGTGGACTTTCTACATCGTGCTTCAAAGTTAATTAAGCAAGAGATTAATAACATATTAGCCGTAAGTAATCAGTAAAGACCCTTTCGGAATTTATATTAGTTGGAAATTAAGTTGTCCAAGAACTTGAAGCAACTTTTAACTTGTGTAATCTATGGGTGTTGACAAACCATTCCTTCAACACCAAGCAACATAATCAGATAATTTTTTTTTAAAAATAACCTATGCTTGTTTTTGAATTGACGTCCCATGAAACACCAATGATACTTGGTTTTGTCCAGCGGTTTATGCCACCTAGCCCCATATAACAAACAAACGAGAAGCCTAGAGAGAGGACCAGCAATTTGTTGCTAATCCAAATTATAAATTTATAATTAAAAGTTAAAATCCACCAAATATTAACAGGGGCCGAGACCGAAAACCTGTAGGCAAATGTTATTCTCTTTGTATTTTGAAAGGTCGAACACGTTGGGTTGGAGTTGACAAATTAAAATGGGCTTGGTCGTGGTCCAACAATTCACTATAAATAGTGGAAGTCACCAAACAATATCACCTAGAAAGCACTGCTTAAATTAAGCAGCCTTCTGAGTGAGGATCCTTGTCGGATCCCTTCGTAAGGATTCCGGAGATCCTCAAATCAAATTCGTTCATTATACATTGTGTAGTCAGAAATTATTGTAAATTTTTTTATTTAAAATTGAATATAAACAGTATCTGATAAAAACTAGCCACGTAATGTACAATAAACATATGTGATTGGAAGATCTCTGGATCCTCACAAAGAGGATCCGGCTAGGATCCTCTCTCTCTCTCTCTCTCTCTCTCTCTCTCTCTCTCTCTCTCTCTCTCTTTCTCTCTCTCTCTCTCTCTCTCTCTCTCTCTCTCTCTCTCTCTCTCTCTCTCTCTCTCTCTCTTTTATACTCTTTCTTTTGAATGGCGACCGGTTTTTAGGTTCTCAATTTACTTCTTATTCTACAAGTGGGGTTTGGTTATCGTCCAACAATTCACTATAAAATATTGAATTAGCTACTATCTGTTTATATTGACTAATTAATATACATGTATAAATTTTTCCTTCAGGGTATTCTACCATTTGCATATGCATGATGGTTTGCTTGAAGCACAAAGTAACAAGTTTTTTTCAATTAATTAAACATCTCTTCAAAGTTATTTAGTACTAATAGAAGAGAATGCTCTTTTGGAATAATTGTGCATCTTATTCATCTCTCACGGAGGGGTTTATAAGCTATTACAATCATATCAATAAGGAAAGAAATAATTTACATAAAATCATATTAAACTAAGAATCCCAAAATTACAGGTATATACACAAAAAGTCAACACTCCCCTTCAAGTTGGTGCATATATGTCACACATGCCCAACTTGTGTAGGAAACTTGAGAACTTTTGACTTGAAACAGCCTTTGTGAGGATATCTGCCAATTGATCTTCCGTTCTTATTGTCGGTACCTCAATTATCTTCCCTTCCAATTTCTCTTTGATGAAGAACCGGTCAACTTCAACATGTTTTGTTCTATCGTGCTGTACTGGATTATGTGTAATGTCACGAGCATCTTTATTATCACAAAACAAGTTCATAGGTTGATCATGTTTTATACCCAAATCCCTTAGCAGAAGCTTAAGCCATAAAATTTCACAAATCCCTAAGGCCATACCTCTGTATTCAGCTTCTGCACTAGACCGGGAAACCACATTTTGTTTCTTACTCCTCCATGTAATCAAGTTACCCCCAACAAATGTAAAGTAACATGATGTTGAGCGCCTGTCATCCACTGATCCTGCCCAATCTGCATCAGTATAACCTTCAACTCTAAGATGATTAGTCATTTTAAACAAAATTCCCTTGCCTGGGCTTCCCTTCAAATATCTCAAAATCCTCATCACTGCATTCATATGGTGTTCTCCAGGATCATGCATGTATTGACTCACTACACTCAAGGCATATGCAAGGTCTAGTCTTGTGTGTGCCAAGTACATTAAACGGCCTACTAACCTTTGATATGTTCCTTTGTCAACTGATACTTGATTAGGATCAACACTAAGCTTCAATCCTTCCTCTAATGGTGTAGCTACTAGCTGACAAGCTGACATGCCGGTTTCATGTAGCAAATCCATAATATACTTCCTCTGAGACAAGTAAATTCCAGAATTGCTTCTCGACACCTCAATCCCTAGAAAATATTTTAGGGATCCAAGGTCTTTCATCTCAAATTTTGTAGACAAGTATCCTTGAAAGGCCGCATGTTCTGCCAAATCATTCCCTGTTACAACCATATCATCTGCATACACAATGAGTGCAGTAAGCTTCCCATTTTGTCTTCCAAAAACAGAGTATGATTGGAATTACTTTGTGTGTAACCAAATGCTCTCATAGATTTTGTGAATCCTCCAAACCATACTTGAGGGGACTGTTTCAAACCATACAACGATTTATTCAACCTGCATACCTTTCGTTTGTATTTATCCGGAGCACTACATCCTGGTGGAAGATCCATATAAATCTCTTCTGTCAAATCTCCATGCAAGAAGGCATTCATCACATCAAACTGTTGTAAGGGCCAATTAATATTTGTAGCCAAAGATAACAAAACACGAACTGTGTTGATCTTGGCCACAAGGGCAAATGTATCTGTATAATCGATTCCATATTTTTGAGTGTACCCTTTTGCTACCAGTCTTGCCTTGAAACGATCCATTGTCCCATCAGCTTTGTACTTGACAGTATAGACCCATTTGCATCCCACAGGTTTCTTGCCAGCTGACAAGTCCGTGATTTCCCAGGTAGCTTCTTTTTCAACGACTTTAATTCTTCATTCATTGCTGCTTGCCAACGTGGATCAGCTAAAGCCTCATGCACACTGTTAGGAATAGATACAATAGATAATTGAAACACAAATGACTTACTTGATTCTGATAGGTGGCTAGTAGACACATAATTACCTAATGGGTATAACACATTAGATTCTTGGTTGGGTCTATTCACCGGGTACCAAGTTTTGCATTTAGGATCAGCTTTGCAAGTAAGTTTAGGAATACCTCGGTTGACACGATTAGGGAGACGATGTGGTGGTGGTGCATCTGGGATGGAAGACGATTGATTATGGTTATTGGGGCTCAATGGTGGTGAGACCGACTGTGAGGTAGCTGGCGACAATAAGCTATCCAATGGTGAGAAGGCTGGCAGCGAGTTGTCCAATGGTGAGGAAGACAATGAATTTACCGGTGGTGTTGGCTCATCAACATTGTTTTCATGTGAATGATCACCACTTAACTCCAAGGCATTACCACTTAATTCCAAGTCATTCACATCATTATTTTCTTGTGAATCATCACCACTTGTTTCCAATACATCACCACTTAAACCCAAATGATTCACATCATTAGTTTCTTGTGAATCATCACCACTTGTTTCCAATACATCACCACTTAAACCCAAATGATTCACATCAGGAATAGTATAATCAAGAGTTTGAACTTCTGTCTGATTCTTCCCCTGAAGTGCACACTCGGAATGGGCAAAGTACATATCGTTTTCATGAAATACAACATCCACAGTGACAAATAACTTTTTCGTCGGAGGATGATAGCAGCGATATCCTTTCTGATTAGAGGCATACCCTACAAACATGCACGGTAAGGCTCGAGGTTCAAGCTTACTCCTCTGCTGTTTAAGGAGATGAACGAAAGCCACACAGCTAAACATGTGAGGTGCAAGATTTGGAACTGCAGGAGCATCAACATGTGAGGAGAGAGCCTGAAGAGGTGTCTAAAAATCAACTGATCGGGATGGAACGCGATTAATGAGATACGCAGCCGAGGTGAGAGCTTCTCCCTAATAGGATAACGGGAGACGCCCCTCGAGTAAGGAAGCACGGACAACCTCTAGAAGGTGACGGTTCTTGCGCTCTGCAACCCCATTTTGTTGTGGAGTGTATGGATATGTAGTTTGATGAACAATACCATGATGATCAAGAAAGGCACGAAGTTCAGAGTTCACATACTCGCCACCATTATCACTCCTGAGAACCTGTATTTATGACTTATACTGCACTTGCACCATTTTGTGAAATTGCTGGAACAAGGAAGTAACTTCACTCTTTAACTTCATCAAACAAACCCAAGTCATACGTGTGCAATCATCAACAAAAGTAACGAACCAATAAGCACCACCAAATGTAGTAATTTTAGATGGTCCCCAAACATCAGAATGAATTATCATAAATGGAACAGAACTTTTTGTCAAACTAGACGGAAACGAAGTACAATGACTTTTAGCTAGTTCACAAACACCACATTTAAAACTAGAAATGTCATTCTTAACAAATAGGTTAGGAAACAACCTCTGTAAATAACCGAAAGAAGCATGTCCAAGTCGACGATGCCACAACCAAATCTTCGAAGATTTATTCCGCTTTCCCTGAGACCCTTCCATAGTAAGAGCTTGATTCAACATCTGGGTACTGTTCAATATCAGCTCTAAGTAGTAAAGCCTCCCTTTTCTGATACCATAACCAATCGTCTTACGAGTCCGAATATCTTTAAAAACACAAAAAGAAGGCCAAAAAATAACAAGACAATGTAGGGCGACGGTTATTTGAGCAACAGATAATAAATTATAATAAAGAGAATGAACAACAAGCACGGTATCAAGATTAAGGGTATCTAAAAGGGAGATAGCGCCTACCCTAATAATGGGGGTAGGATTACCATTGGCAACATTTACAACAATTTTGGTGGATGGTTTTAGGGTTTGTACCTGTCTAGAATCACAAGTCATATGTTCAGTAGCACCGGAATCAATTATCCATGTATTATTCGTAACAGATACAGAAACCTTTAAAGCTTTACCATCGTTGTTGTATGTTCAGAAGCTACCTTAGCGTTGGCAATCAATGCACACGACTCATTACAGCGGGGATGACGAGTCCAGTGTGTCATTGATCTGCGTGAGTTGAGTGCAACGTCTGAGGTGATTAATAGGGCCAAGATTCCAAACCAACTAGGTCACCAATGTGAGATCCCTGGAACAAAAACAAACAGTAACACAAAAAAGGACAACCTTTTCTTTTTTCTTTTTTCTTTTTTCCCCATTTTTTTTCTTTTTTTTTCTTTTTTTCTTTTTTTCTTTTTTTCTTTTTTTTCTTTTTTTCTTTTTTCTTTCCTTACTCCTGGGAATTCCTTCAGAACACGCAAAGCAAAATAAATGCACGTGGGGACTTCCTTCAAAACACGCAATCAAAAAATAAATGCAGGGATCATATCAAATCAGTTTAGCAGAACACAGGTTGGGCTGCATATGGTACGATGAGTCAAATGCGTAGACGCGAGGAAGAGACAGGTCGGTTTCTGGTGCAGAAGAAATCGTGGTTGTCAACAGGGATTTGCAACGATAAGGTTTCTAGATTAGGATCTCGGTTTGTGGGTATGCGATGCAGCAACAGATGGTAGTGGGTGACTGTAGGGATCGGCTCAGTGAACTCGGATCAGCAACGACAGCGTCGCTCGCTGGTGTGACGGTGCGCTGCATAACTGGCTGCGCAACTGGCGAACTCAGATCAGCAACGACGGCGTCGCTCACTGGTGTGATGGTGCGCTGCACAACTGGCTGTGCAACTGGTGGTTCTTGGTTCTGCGCACAATGCGACTTTTTCTTTTTTTCTAACCTAGGCTCTGGTGCCAAGAAGAGAATGCTCTTTTGGAATAATTGTGTATCTTATTCATATCTCACGGAGGGGTTTATAATCTATTACAATCATATCAATATCAATAAGGAAAGAAATAATTTACATAAAATCATATTAAATTAAGAATCCCAAAATTACAGGTATATACGCAAAAAGTCAACACTAATGTGCTATCTTCCGCATTACTTAATCCGGCATGTTTATGATTCTTGTCAAGCTGTTAATCCAATTTTTGTAAACTAAACTAATAAGAGGATAATGGGCTGCTGCTGAAAGTTTGGTTGACGATACTAAAGTATCTTGCCACAGTTCTGTAATCATTTTAAGTGATATATAATTAATTCTTGTTCTTGGAATGATATGCACAAATGTCGAAAGAAATAATAGGAAGTATTATAGGATTCACGATTTTACATATTTGTAAGACTTAATTTTAAATTATAATCTGCTCTGATACCATATTAAATTGTAAGCGTTCAAACTAAAAACAATTAGAGGAAGTGACAGAAGATTATTTGAACCACTAGGTAGAACTTTCTAAGCCCACTAGAAATTCCCCGCCAAACCACAAATCCTACTCCTCCTTGCTCTCCAGGGAGTCCACCCCACTTACTCAATCGAAGTACTCATTCCATATCTACTTCATTAATATCGGCTGCTCGCGGTGGCTTGGGTCCCCGAGGCACATCTTGAGCACATCAGCAGCATTCACCCCACCAACATTTTGATCAGGTGACTCAGTGAAACTCGGCTCCTTGGCCCTCCAGCCCCTGATGGGACTCCTCCTTTCTCTCTTCCTCTTCTTCTTTCTTTTTTCTTCACCTCCTCCTCCTCTACCTTATCTTCCCTTACCTCCTTCTTCATTTGAAGCTCACTTGCCATTTGCCGGGTCAAAACTCCATGCCCACTATGGAATCCGTCGGCCTTCATCATCATCATCTTTCTTTCTGAGCTATTTTTGTTTCCTCCTTTGCTTGATGAGCTCACGGTCTCCTTATATTCATTTTGTTTTGTTTGTCACAGAGAGAGAGAGAGAGAGAGAGAGAGAGAGAGAGAGAGAGAGAGAGACAGAGACAGCGACAGAGTGATTGAGTCTGGATGAGCTTGATGGGTATGTAGCAGCTATATAGAGAAGAAGATAGCTTAATTTGAGCTTCTTTGAGCACAAAAGGGAGTGAAAAGGATTCCTCTCTTATATACACGACTCGCCTTGTCAAAACTGCATGGCCACTATGGAAACCATCAGCATTCAACATCATCCTTCTTTCTGAGCTATTTTTGTTTCCGGCCTTGCTTGAAGCTCTCTTTCCATTCTCCTCTTTCATTTGAAGCTCTCTTGCCATTCGTCTTGATGAGCTGCGTTGATCTTCCTCTTTGCACTTCCTCGCCCAAATGTGTTTCCTTCTGCTGACTGACCTGTAATGCATTTGCGACAAAACAATGAAGCACATGCATAATCAAAGTATTTATAAAATGTTTCAGACCTAAAAAAAAAAGAACACATAAAACTTGATGATATATACGATCAAGTAATCTGGTAAATCATCGATTCGATAGAAGATGGATGCCATCATTCTTAATATGCACATC